TCCTATAAAGACAGGCTGAGAGAGGTTGGAGAAGAAAAAACTCCAGGGAGACCTTATAGCAACCTTCCAGTGTCTTAAGGGGGCCTACAAAAAGAGCTGGAGAGGGATCTTTTTAAAAGAGTATATGGTGATAGGACAAGGGTTAATGGCCTCAGACTGAAAGAGGGCAACTTTAGATTAGATATGAGGAAGAAATTCTTTACTGTGAGGATGGTAAGGCACTGGAACAGGATGTCCCATCCCTGGAAGTGTTCAAGGCAAGGTTGGATGGGGCTTTGAGCAACCTGGTCTAGGGGAAGGTGTCTCTGCCTGTGCAAGGTCCCTTCCAATCCAAATCATTCTATGATTCTACAATCAGTAACTACACGACAGCAAGGCTACATATGCATGTCTGCAGACATATGTGAATAGGCACACAAAGCTGTATCCCAGTTCTGAGAGTCTTATCGTTTTATTTATTTTATTTCTAATGAAATGCTAGGACTAAATAAGGAAATTGTTGTGGCAATAAGGCAAACTTAGCTCTGTCATAACTCAGACAGCACTGTTTCTGGCCATTTTGGTGGCTAAGGTGGGTGAAGAGGCAAAGGAAATGCTTACCGCAGCAGCCATACAGGGTTTGAGCTGAGCATGTTTGAAGGCCAAGACACAACTGGAGAGCCGGACCACAGGCAAGTACAGCATGGACATCAGGGCCTGCAAGCACTTTGCTCTTCAGGCCCAAAACAATTTTTAAAGATCCTGACCTGGTTACAGACCTGCAGACACCTATCAGGTGGGAAGGAGCAAACGCAGGGACCTTCTCCATTATTTGAAATAATTATTAGCTGTGAATGTAGTTGCTAAGCGTTATTATCCCTGCCCATCCCATGTTTGTCTTCTCCATCTCCAAATGTGACACTCTCTTGTCTTGGCTTCAGTGCATTACGAGACTTTTCAGGGCCAGATTTTCAGTCTGAGCATGGCTCAGGAGTTGTGGTGTCTGGGACAGCTGGGGGAGGTTGACCCCCCTGCAAAGCAGCAGAGGCTAAGCCTGCTCGTTTATGCCAAGGAATTTTGGCCACAGGTGTCAGGTAATTCCTGGTATTGCTGGCAGGCAATCCTTGTCGCCATTCATAACAGTGCTTTAATTCAGCCCACCTATGCTCAAGCAAGGCTCCTTCCTGTGCAAGAACAACCCTGTGCAGAGCTTACGTGAATCTAGCTACCAAGAAAGTTTTGTTTACAGTGAAGTTAAAAAGTGACACCCCACTTTGCCTCAGAAAACATTGGAATGACCTCTCCTATGGCAAAGCACCTATATGAAAAATGGTACTTTTATGCCCAGATTTATCACAGCATTCACTATGTGCAGATAAATTAAAAGCAAGCAGCCACTGAGCGACAGAAGTGAGTTTCCTGATATATCATTATTGTAGCACAGTGCTTCTGCGAGGCACATGGCAAATGACTGTAAATAGTTATAGAATCATAGAATCAAAGAATCATTTACGTCGGAAAAGACCTCCAAGATCATCAAGTTCAATACTGCCAAGTCCACCACTAAACCATGTCCCCAAGTGCCACATCCATACCAATTCCATGGGCAGTCTATTCCAATGCTTGACTACTCTTTCAGTGAAGAAATTTTTCCTAATATCCAATCCAACCTCCCTTGGCACAACTTGAAGTCATTTCCTCTTGTCCTGTTGCTTGTTACTTGGGAGAGAGACTGACTCCCACATCACTACAACCTCCTTTCAGGTTGCGATGAGGTCCCTCCTGAGCCTCCTTTTCTCCAGGTTAAGCAATGCCAGCTCCCTCAACTGCTCCTCATCACACTTGTGATCACACCCTTCACCAGCTTCATTGCCCGGACTTACTACAGCACCTCAATGTTTTATAGTGAGGAGCCACAAACTAAACACAGGATTTGAGGTGCGGCCTCACCAGTGCCAAGTAGAGGGGAACAATCACTTCCTGCTGGCTACACTATTTTTGATAGAGGCCAGGATGCCATTGGCCTTCTTGGCCACCTGGGCACACTGCTGGCTCATGTTGAGACAGCCATCAACCAACAGCCCTAGGACCTGTTCCACCTGGGAGCTTCCCACAAATTCCATGAATTATGGAAATCATGACTGAATTCTCCTTGTGAAATGTAAGAACCAGCATCAGTTTCATGATGCACTAACTCAGCAGTTTTGTTTATACTCTTATAAAGGGACTAAGAGGACAGATGCTCCCCTGCAAATGTGTGTGGAGGGGAATCAGTTTGACCCTGTGCCAAACTAGCGACAAGGGGAAGCCTGTGCATGGGCCCACAGAGGGCAAATGCACACTGCACAGTAGGAACCAGGGCTGCCAAGCCACACACACTGTTAAGCAGTATGAGAGGAGGCTGGAGAGGTTGCTATTGGGCAAGGATAAGAAAGTGAAAGGAAAAAATCCTTCACGCACCATGGACTGAGCTCTGCACCCTTAACCAGCCAGAGAGGTACTAGTTTAGACATCTTAGAAATGCAGCATTGTTAAATAATTTGTGCCATCTGCCACTGGGGATCCAGGTGCACATTGGGTTGACCATTTATCCATGTGTTTTCTCAATCTGGGAGTGTGCAGAAGTGAAATCAGCTAACAGAATGCCCTATATGTGCACGGATCTGGGTTGCTTCCTTGGGCTTCTGCATAAGCAGAGGGAAGGGGACCAAATACTTGAAGTTCTCCTCAAGATCCTTTCTTACTCTGGGACTGTGCAAGAACCAAGTCAGTCTCCAGCCTAGGTCAGACACAATCTTCAGCTGTGCTCTGGCAACTGAACCTGCCAAAGAGGCATATAAGAGGGCATTAGTGGCAGCCTCATTTTATACAACATTACCACTGCAGCTAATCCACGGCTGCCTGCATGAGGTCTGTGGAGTATCACACATGATGGAGAAGAGCTGTTGTACAGCAGCAGTCTAGCAGCAGACCTCTCTAGATGTGCTTCATTTTCAGCTGCAGCTTCTGGGGCAGATGAGCTTTTACCATGTCATATTTTTCTCTGCCTTAGTGCCACCTTGATGGTTTTGCACGGAAAATTTGAGCCACAATCTCCTTAAGCTGGGGTAAAGGGGAGGAGGGGGGTGGGTGGGCAGAGAGAAGGGCCCTTTGAGAAGATACCCCCCCATCCGTCAAGTTTTAAGCATGTAACTTCACAAGTAACCCCCTGAGGGTCTTCCTCCAGCCAGAGGCAAAGGTAGTCCTGGAGCGCAATGCAGGGGAGCAACTGTCAAGGATAACAATGCAGCCTGCCATAGGGATTCAGGCCAGGAAGGAGACAGAAGAGTTCAGCCCCCTGTCACCGCAAACTGCCTTCACACAGAACTAGGGTGAGCATTTACAGCAAGTATAAACTGTTCTGTGAAGGGACCTGGCATGGCAGAGCAGTGTCTGCATGGAGTGAAGGTTTTTGGCGTGGGTGGGCATGTTTGTTCCAAATTACCAGGAATGTGCAGCCTTGCAGCCTCTGCGCACACCTGCTCAGCTACTCTTTCTCTCTCTCTCTCTCTTGCTGGTGATGTGGCTGTGTCCTTGACCAACTTTCCTGCCCAGCAAGCATAACCTCCACTGTGCTTTTAACAAGCTGCCCATTGGAGCTCAGTCAGCTGCCAGGGGTGGGTGTCTCCAGGCTCTCCTCACACCTGCATGTTCCTCCTTCCCCACTCGAAACTTCAACCTTAAAAGAAATGAAATAGAAGGAAAAAAAAAAGGAGGTATTCACTGATGAAGGCTCTAGCAGCTGCTCGCTGTACTCATCAAAGAAGAGGAAGTGCCAAATACTTCCTTGTAGGAAGTGTTTCTGTAATCAAAGTGCTCTGCGGTTGAGCTGCGAATGTCGATTCCCTCCCGCCCAATGCAGCTCCTCGGTCATGAGCCAGAACAGGAGGTAGCTGGCTGCCCACACCCTTGTCAGTTTACACTTTCACACAGCAACACTCATACCTCTGTTTTCCTTGTGACATTCACCATTTCCTGGTGGAGTGAGGACAGACCAAGCCAGGCTGCTGCTGTGAGCACATTCACACTCAAGCCAGCACTGCACCTCAGAGCCCAAGCAAGTTTCCCATGAACAAGCACAAATGCTTCATGTCCCCATCCCCAGATCATCTTGCCAAACTGGGAGGGTGGGAGAGTGGCAGGAACAGGATCATGTTTTTGCTGGGAAGTGTCCCTTCTGTCCCCCATCCCCCCACACCCCATTTGCTGTGGTAAGGCTCTTACAGCCAAACAGGGAAAAATTACTCGTGGCCCATCCAGAGGATCTCAGTAAAAGCTGGAAAGAGGACCAAGGACCTCCCAGGCCCTGAAACCCCTGTGGCTCGCAGCACTGTTCAGAGGGTTCAGACTTTGCGGCAACAAGGAAAACCATATGCAAACATGCCAACAGAGAAAATATGCCAAGAAAAAAATAAAGTATTTTTGAGCTGTTATTTTTTCCAGTGCTGGCCAGTCATAATTTTGGTTTTTTGTGTGTGTGCTTTTTATTTAAACACCAATACTACACTACCTGGAGAAGCTTATCTCCTAAAACAGTGCACACTTCAAGCTACAAAATCAAGCTGGAAAAATCAAACAGATCTTTGCCCTTCAAGTTCTGTTTTCCATTTCTCTCTTAAAACCTAAAGACTTGTCCTAATCAAACAGTACTGGGGTTTTTTTATCCTCTACCATGTCCTTTTTTCAGTTACAAAGTTATATTCTCCAAATTAACACAGTGTTTAAAATAACTATACCCAAAAAAGTCCTGTAACTTGTAGCAAATGAAGTGCACCAGAAAATCCCATCCAACCACTTGGCAAGGCAGACCAGGATCACAGGCAGACCAAGGTGCCGGCTCCCTGCCACTGTGTACCAGCGCAGCCCCCGTGACCTTACAGCAGCTGATGTTCTCATCCATTACTTCTGCTCTGTTCATCTCAGCGTGCTGTCCTCCCCACCAGATTTCGTACAGAGAAATAGAAAGGACACAGGAACACAAGTTTAGCTTGCTGACATAATGCCCATATTTAATCTTTTAAAACAAGAACAAAATCAAGAATAAAATCAAGAATAAAAATTTCATTTAAGTCATACAGTACATTAATCTTTCAGCAATGACCCAATCTACAGTACTCAAATGCCTGGCATGAAGTCTATTATCTCAGCATTTAACAAGTGTATAACCAGTGACACAGTAAAAGAAGAGCTCACAATACACAGCTAACACAATAAGTTTAGATTTTCTTCTAAGAGTCCAGCTAGTGTTTGTAACACATGGGTCACTTTTGAACCATACTTTATTCAGCTTTTTGTTCAGTCAATCTGTTTGGGGCTTTTTTTTTTCTGTTGTGTGAGTTTTTCCATTATGTACATGAAGATTATTTTGAATGAAATTGCACAAGTTAGAATATCTACCTATAGGCATACATGGTCAATCTAACTAAAAAATTTAATAAGCAGTAATTACTCAGTCCTGGTTATACATTCCTAAAGGCTTAATAATACAGTTTTAAGAAGAAAAAAAATAAAACAAAACACAACAAAACATAGTTGTAGGGTGGCACTCTCTGTATGAAGCCTCCTTCCCTCCCAAAACAACCAAGGGTTAACTGTACTTTCCATGTGTGAAATGGGATCTACAGAGAAGTAATTTCAGCTCCTAAATAATATAAAACATGTGACTGTGTCCTTTCTAAAGTCTGAATGGTTCAATGCGTAATTCAGTGAAGCTCTCAAACAAATAATACTGGTAGGATGCAGACTGTTAACAGAAATTAGGACAACATGCCCCAATAGCACATTTGGGTAACAAAACTGTATGTGTTAAGGGGCCATTATCCAATGGTTAAAGCAGTTTGATGCAGGACAGCTCTCCCTGCAGCAGCTGCAGAGGAAGGGAAAGGGTGGGATCTTCTGTTCCTTAGTCAAGGCTACAGCTGAATTTTGCCCACCTCTTACTCAAGCACCTGCCCTCTTCCTGCTCTCAGCCCCTTACTCCTTTCTGAGGGGGAATCTCCAGCCCAAAGACAACCTGAGCATGGCAGAGTGCAAGCCACCCCTCTATCCATCCCAACTCCTGATGCTCAGGGACAGGCAGAGGTCTGCTCCTGCTCCAGCTCTACTGCAGGCATGAGGGCTCCCATTAACCCACTGTGGCGCAAACAGGAGGTTCCGCAGCCTGGTGGCTTTCTGGGTCCTGGTGTCGACTACCACGTACATCTCGATGCAGTAACACACGGAGAGGTCCCTCCCTCCAGAGTAGTGTTACCAAACACTACAGACCCAGAGAGCTATCTCTAAGGCAAGTTAACTAAACACAAGGGTGATGCTGCATCTTCTTCCCACATTAGCAAAACAGAAACATAACTAATTAACACAACTGCTCTGACTTCTTTTAATCTCTCTCTTCTGGTGCCAGGTCTTGCTACAAATGGAAAAAAAAACAACATAGAGACCCACTTTCCTAGATGGAAAAGCAGCAGAATCTTAAGCCTTGAGAATCTGCTTTGTAATTTGCTACTGGCATAAACAACAAAAAAAAAGTCCCATTTGTTTGGTTGGTTTTTGTGGTGTTTTTTAAGAAAAAAAATTCAGACCATCCAGTGCACTTTCTGTGCACATCACGCACACTCACATGCACACGCACCAATAGAGAGCTCCAGAAGAACAAGCATGAGAACCACAAAGCCCAAATGGTGAAAAGACATGGGGAAATCTTACTTTTTTTTTTCAATTCTCATTTAGCAATGAAGCAGCAAAACGATGTATTGCAAGAAATAAACGGTCACAGAACACACATACACCCAAACGCAACCATGGATACATTTTTCCCATTTTTTTTCTCTGATACATGCTGTTATTCATCTGATAATTTCTTTCTGGCTGTGCTGAAGTTTTTGAAGAGCATCTAGTGCTTCTTTAACCTTTATCAGAACGCAAGAACCTCAGTGGCAATGGACAATCAATCTCATTAGTGCCGCAACCAACCATCTCCACTTGAGATTCTCTACGAGCCCCTTTTGGAAGTTGAATCTGACTCTGACTCTTTAGTGCCACTCGTGGTTGGTTTTTTTTTTAAATTAACAAACACAGCATATTAATGCAAATTCGATGTTTTCTAAAAAATGCTCAGATAATTAGTTCAGCAATATGCAAAGTGCATCTATTTGGTTCTTTCCATAGATCGCCTTCTGTTTTAAGTTTAAATTCCTTCACAGTTTAAAATATTGTGAAGAAATTATATGTATACTTTATGTATAGAACTATTTATATACATACACATATATACACACAACTCTGTACTTTATATAGCCATAAACACTCACTACTTAACTATTTATATTATATACACATGGCATGAACACACGCTCGGTGAAGAGTTGGTGCAGGCTGAAATCATTCCATTGCATTTAATGGAATAACAGCAGTGAAACCATGAGTGAGTTATCAAGAGACACAGACATATATCTATTAGATAAGTGAAAGACCAATTAAATCAGCTCTTCCTTTTTCCTATTAGCACAGGATTGCTCCCACCCCATTCCATGCTCCGTATGCACATAGTTATTTTGCGTTCAGTTTATGTAAGAGGGCAGTGGTGGTTCTTTTTTCTAAATGAAAGAACAGTCCATATTTGCTCGGGCTCATTGCAACCTCTTCTGCAGAAGTGTGGCACAGATGGGTCTGGATGCCTTGGAGGACTCCAAATGCTGTGCCATCATTAGCTGAAAGCACCTGCCAAAGCTTTATTGCATGGTTATGGGACAGCTATCAACTGTTCACAGTCTGTGAACTCTCTCCAACAAGTGGTACAACTGTATAAATACATATTTTAGCACAAAACAGTTTAACACGAGGCAAGTCCAAGTACAAATTGAGACCTAAAGGCCTATGGGTGAACTTTAAAGGCCAACAGTTCTTCAGAGTGCATGTTGTTTAAGGAACGCAAGTCGGGTAATTTCAAAAGAAGTTTTGTGAAAATAGAGGCTTCGTTTGGGTGATTTTTCATAATTAAGGTCCTTAATGCACGGATTAGTGTTTCCTGAAGTGCCTCCACAGAGTTGACATTTTCTATTCCGGAGCGATCTATACAGAAGGGCACAGTAAGGAGGAGAGAGGGGGAGAGAGAAATTAAAAAACAGGAGGGTGGGGTTAAAAAACAAAGAAACAAAAAAAAGACTGAACAGATGCAGTTTGCAACATAAAGTCATTGCAAGAATCACTCACCAATTAACAAGCACAAGAAAAATTAGATATTTAAGCCAGAAGTTTCAAATCCATATACTGAAAAGTCTTTCAAACATTATTTACCATTATCTTTGCAAGTTAAGGAAGCTCATGCCAAACCGGCAGCATTCAATCACCACTTCTGTAATCCCTTATCCATATGTCCAGAAAAGGACAGATTGAAGCACATGCTTAAATATGTTGCTGAATCACAACTTTCAATACAAGGAGAGAGACAGGGCACATGAAAGTAAAAATTTCAAACATTTCTCAAAGCTGGACATAGAATCCTAAAACTTAAATTGGAGGTTTGAGGAGGAAATCCCACTCGGGACAAGCCACACTCATATCTGCACAGTGGGATCCTCAGGGGCAAAGGGAGTACAAGCCTTGATACAAGTGGGCACTATTTCCAAGCATGTTCTGAAGCACTTACAAATTGAAACATGAGGCACCCAAAAACTCCCAACTGAGGAAAAGAAGAATGTCAACATCAAGATAAATATTATGCTTTCACATACTGCACTCACCCCACGCCTGAAGCATCTCTTTCAAGAGAGCTGTATTTAAGAACACACCTGGTATCCTTAGGTGGAACCTAAGTAAGCAGCTTAAAAGGATGAATTTTTAAGTAAAACATCTCACCTAATAACCATGAACAGCAGCTGTTTTTTTCCAAGCTGTAGCCTCTTTTCTTAAATGCTATGTAAATTCAGTAGGGCACGTACATACCCATGTGACGGACAGGAACAGAAATGTGCTTTGATGTGTACATGTACTTAAGCACTCGGCAGAACTGGGACATGGAATGACAACAGCTTTCTGGAGTAACACTGAGTCAGATCGTACAGTCAGAGTGGGAATCCCTTCCTTATGCTGTCAGTGTCAATCCAATCAGACCGCTCAGGTGAACAGAGTCTAGGAAGTCCTGGACTATTCAGTACACTCCCCTACTGCTATGGGAAAAATTATTACATAATCCACTTAAGGATGCATCTTGAAGCAGTTAATGTGTTTTGTTCCCTTAGGAAAACTGTTCCAGAATCTTCTACTGCAACAATTAGGAGCTCTGATTACCACCAAACAATTCCACTCTGTGAAGATTGTCTGTTAGGTTTGATAGCTGCTGTTCAAGGTAACATGAGTGAAGAGACATCTCTCTGCCTTTATTGATTAAACAATTATTTCCGCTTGCCCTGTGCTCTACAAAAGGTTTGCTCTATTCCAAGCAGGTATGACAACATTTGCACAGAATATGTCCAATGGAGTTCCTCAAGAACTCTGTACAGTGACAATGGTACTGCCTTGCCTCTGAAGGTGGAAGAATGCAGTCCAACCTTTCCTGGCTGCCTCAGGCAAGTTAATGTAGCCTCCTCTCCTTCAATTAGTCCAAGTCTTTCCTCTCCCTCTCAGACAACTTCCAGTTGCTGCCAGTGGCCAGCAGAAGAGTTTGTTAGTACTACTCCAGTAAGAGAGAATAAGAGAGGGTGTGTATTTTATATTCTTCTACCACAGTGTATCACCCTTAGTTAAGGTATTATCTAGTCTCTAGACCCGCATGAACCACATTCTTTCAGCTTTGCTTCTACCTTGCTTTTTCCTTCTTCAGTGCCCATGATCCACCTTGCTATCTCCCCTCCCTCTTCACTACACCCAGCTCAGTGAAGCCAGAGGTGAAGCATTCTTTCAGTTTTGGAATGGTACCAAGGTAATTCCTTATGACCACCCAAGCAGGACCCTGCCTTTTCTTTCTTTTCCATACGACATGAAAACAAGAGGATGTACGGAGTTACACGCAGTCCTTGCTACTGTCCCTGCTTCTTCTGCACATTCTAAATATCCCTCATAAGAGTGGTTATTCATCCAGTGTTATGTGGAAATGTTTCTGACAGGCATTCTCCCCACTAGCACTACTTAGAGACTTACTTCTTTTTTTCCATTGGTGGTTTTGGGTTTTTTCTTAATTTTAAGTAACTGAAAGTCTTTTAAAAAGATTTTTAACTTGTGCACCATGCTACTTTATATTCTGGATCACCTAATCAGCATTCAACAGTCACGCTCCTGTTTGCTTCTGGAACTGATATAAATCTTGACTGCTCTCTTCCTTTCAATCTCCTCTTAAATAACTTTTATTCTGAAATGAAGAAGTCTTAATGGCCTTTTTCTTCCACCTTCAGTTCTTCTTACATTCATGGCATATTTTGCCTTTGCTTGTATCTCCGTGTCATTCCCTCTGATCCTGTTCTTCAATTCTTCCTCCACCTCTAACTGTCCTCCACCTCCCCTTACAGGAAACGACTCTTTGTGTCACACCCCTCTCCTTGAGGAGTGTGGTGCAAGGGCTTTGTCTTTCAAGATCTGTTTAATCAACAGATGCCTACAATCCTTCAGTTCTACAGGTGCCTTCTCCTCCTGGCAAGCCCTCACACTGAGAGCATCTTCCCCAGGAGCTCTGTTGGGGGCACTTCTGTTCTTCTTTGGTACCTGCTTGAGCACAAAGCTTGCTCACTTACTTGCACAAAGGAATGACTGCAGCATTTCAATCCAGTCGCAAGCTACAGAGTAAAGTTCACCTGAGATTTCTGACCTCACAGTAAACATCAAGGTTACTGTTGTGTCTGGAATACAGCTCCAACATTGACTAATGAAGTTGTACTTTATAAAACCCTAGAAGTATTTAGTGAAGGCGTCCAGGAAGGCTGTGATTAGACTGCAGATCACGAGGTAGCTAAGACAGGTAGCAATAAGGTCCTAAAAAAATATGATCTGAAAAATCCTCAGCATCTATGCAAGAAGCCTGAATACCTGTTGCACAGCTCTGACATTACATGCTGTACGTTACATACCATCCCTAAACTAATCCCTACTGGGAACCAGCAATCAGAGCACTGCTTAAAAGGCTAGGGGGCCTGACTCTGTGCTAAAAGAACATTTAACAGAACAAATACAGCCATTTACATTAAAAACAGTTGGCAGAGAGATTGTGATATTCCAGGACCCAGTAGCTGAGCAAGCAAGAAGAGCAGCTGTAAGCCTAGTTACATTGCACAAGAAGGGAAAAGTCCTTATTTTAAAGGTTGCTTCCAGTTCTTGTCAAAAAAGGATAAAAATTGTAGAGGCTGGAATAGTAACTAATACCCCAGGTTTCTCTCTGCTACCTGAACATTTTCACTAACAGATTATAGTCCCATGCCTCCTTCACACTGCCATTTGTTCTGGCTCTTCAAGCTCTGTGCCACCCTTCGCTCATTATCATGGCTTACAGACTGAAGAGGCAACAGCTGCCCCCTCCTGCACTGTAACATTTCAGTTCGGCCACGCACAAAGCTGTTAGACTGAACTGTCCTACCTTGTTTACAGAGGCTTCAAGTGCCTACAGCACCATGCCTGGGGTGCCCCTGCCTGATAAGAAAGACATGGGTTTGAATCACTCATGTGAAAGAGGTGCACTTTTTCAAGGACTTGAGTGCTCCCCAACTGCTGGCTTGCTGTCTAAATAGGCCCTACGAGCATTCCTGCTACCTACCTCTAGAAAGCTTCTTAAACTGCAAGCAGGGATTCTGCATCTTGTATTCCAGGCATTATATGGAGAGCTAATGTGCCTAATTTGAGGCTTGAGATAATACTACAGAAGTAGGTGCTTAATCCTTCTTTGAATCTGGGCCAGGGTGTTCTGTATATCCAGCGACTGAAACAAGATAGGAGGCCGGTGAAGATGTCAGTGGATTGGCAGGCCTTTAGTGGTAAGAGGTCATGATGCAGATGACAGGGCTTTCTTGCTGACATAGGCAGAGATCAAACTGCTGGATTTAGACTTAAGTAAAATACACAGTAAACTTAAATGACAATACTTGGAAGTAAAAATACCACCTTATCTAAAGACTTATGCTGTGCAAGTCAGGAGTAATTTCAGCGATGCTGTCCTGTGAAGCTTAGAGGAGTCAGACAAATACCATCTAAATGGCCATGGGGCAGTTATGAGATGTGTTTTTGCATTCTACAGAAAGCAGCAGGAAAAAATAAACCCATTGTCACATTTTTCAAAAGGCAATATTAGAAAGACTAGGTATGTAAAAAGTAGATTACAGGCTGCTAATAGCTTAAAACCTACTCAATTGCACTTCGACATGAAATAACAGGCTATACATTTTACAGAAAACTTTTAATACAGAGCCACATTCAAATCTTGACAAAGATGCAAGTTAACTTTCTCTCCTTACCAGCAGATACCAGGACAACCGCTGTAAACAAACTCATTTCCTCATCGCTAAGTTGCAGGGCATTTAATTTCTCACTAAATTCAAACATTGAGTTGAGCAGATCACCAGCTCCCATTGAATGCAAGTCATCCACACTGTACTTTTTTCCACTCAGGAAGGTGACAGTACGTTCCTTTGCATCAAACAAAGATGCAAATCGTACCATTAAAACCTGGTGAAAGAAAAAAAAAACAACAAAAACAGATAAATGCAAATGCATTTCTAGAAAAGCCAAAGAAAAATACTAAACCTTTTAACATCATTCAAACTGTCTCATTAACTGCTCTACAAGCATTCTATATAGAAACTGTCAGCATGCTGTTGAGCTGTAAAACACAGTGCAAGCTCTGGTCCAGTAATCTAAGAGAAACAAACAAGTGGCAAAATTAGCGAGTGGATGCAGGGGAGGGGATACAGAACATGAAAGGGAGGAAAATTAAAATTTAAACCTCAGACAGTCTGAGCCACGCAGACCATGTCACTCATAAATATGCCAGTAGGACAACTTGCTTAAGCTACTCAACAGCCAAAGGCATACAGAGCGTTTTTTGGCCACACTTATGAGGAGCAAAATGAAGATACCGAACCAGATTCTCACTTGGCATAAACTGGAGCAGCTATACGGAAATAATGCTGATTTACACCACCTCATGATCAGGCCCCCTAGGCATTCTTTGGGAAAGTACCATGCCGCATCACTGTACCCACAGGAATGTTAATGAGCTCTGGTAGAAGGCCACATGTGTGGCTTTCAGCTTTTGAAAGGCTAGGGAAGCACAGCTTGAGATGGCACCTGGTCTGTAGCAGCTGGGAATACCCCTTTGCTACAAGCACCACGGCTGGAGCAGCTGATGTGAGCTAAACTTACCCCTTTGGGCTGAAATTTCTCCTGTGGTTTGTCAGTCGTACTGTGAAAAGTTTCCCTCTGGAATGGCTTGTAAAGTATCATTTGCTCATGTTCAACAACCTTATTTACATTTTCAAGATTTAAGTTACACAGAACAGCCTTCTTATTTGGAGAAAACGAACCAACTGGCATTGGTTAAAACTTCAGACTCGCTGTAATCTCCTGGTGTGACAGCTGTCTCTTCTCACTTAACCTACATAACTGCATTAATTTAAATGTTTACTACAGGTGAGAGGAGAACCAGGGCTTCAAAGGCTAGTGTCTTTGACAAGCTTAAAAACAGGAATGTTCAAACCAAATGAAGATGTTTGAGAATTCAAATACCATTCATGCACATCCCATGACCTGCACCTAAATTTTAACAGCCAAATGACATGCAGCAACCTTGATGGACACACGAGCACTATGCACTATTCACTTTTGTCAGCTAGGCTGCATGTCCTGTGCTGACATTAACTACAGAGTGCAGAAACCTAGATGCAGAAGCCCTCTGAATACAACAAAGAAAGACAAAGGGCAGACAGACAAAGCTGAACTTGTGCATTAGCACAGACCCACCAGGTATTCAACAACCTTTCAGTTCAAAATGGCACTCTCCCTACAGAACTGGGCTTTAGAAACAAACTTTAAATAATGAACAGCCAGTATTAACACTAGCATTCAAAACTGAAGCTCATAAAGTTGTGTTGACTTATACTAAGGCAAAGAGCTCACCTATAGATTTCCATGTCAACATTCTAACCTAAGGAAGAATTGACTATGACATAGCACAGGCTTGATTCATTTCATTTCACTTCAAGCCAGACTCCTATTTGTGCATGCTGAGGATATACCCGATCAATCCTGTCACTCAATCACTGCAACGTAAGCACATAAAAACCTCCACACCTGAAGGTTGCTTGCTCACTTCCCTACCACCTGTAGTTAAATGACCAGGTTTGTGAGTCTGCCAAGAAGCTGAGTCACTACTCAAATGGATCCATTTGAGTAGTGACTTGCTAGCTCTACCATCAACTACATTTGGAGGGAAGGTGGGGGAGGGCCCACTGAAAACCAGTCAAGTTCCTTATTTTACACTCACTGCTTTTTCTGAGATTGCTGTCATAGAAGCCATGCAGATGCCACCACAATACACTGAGCTCCCCAGTACTCCCAGTTCTAAAAACTTTTTTATCTTACACGTGTGTGTGAATATATATAGCTATGCAGCTTCTGCACCATCACTGTCTCCATGTGTCTTCTTACCCTCAAACGAACAGCTCCTTGAATACAGGCTGCTAAGAAGCACAGTGCCAAGCCAACCACACCAGGCTTGGAGGCAGCACTTTTACTCGGGTTCTTCTATTAACATGCAGACATTGGAACATCCCAGTTCAGTTACCCACAAGACAGAAATGACCTTGTATGCCTCAGGCTTTCAAGATGCTTTTTGCCTCTATTGCAATGGATTCATTAATCCTGTTGTGGTTTTTTTTCCTACTGCTCTCCAGCATCACTTTTTTTGTTTTCTGTTGCTAAGGGGCCACATAGGCCTTTAACTACAAGTACCAGCTCACTAACAGAAATCATTAATGTTTCTTATAAATAAGTGAATAGTGACAAGCATGCAGCCATACATTATTATAAATTCCCCTGGATATAGAAACCTTCTTATCAGCAGTGCTTGTAACTGGCAAAAAAAGCATATGAATGAGGCCTGAGAAAAGCTTGAGGTGAAGAGAGGCCAAGACAAAACATTTTACTTGCAAAATAGAAAGATTTGGCTTCACTTTATAGGAACAGTTCAAGCCCAATTTTCCACCCTCCTTGAGGGCATTGGACAGCAGAGGAAGGAACTAACATTTTTGTGTAATGTGAACAGCAGTGTAAGAGACTGTAACTGAAGAAGTGAAAATACAGCCCCTATGCCGCAGGAGTTGTAGATGAATATTAAAAGGTCAAGAATAGGTACAACAGAAAAAAATACAGGACAGCAAAATGAAAGCAACAAAGAAACTGACACATTCCAGGCACCAAGTCTTCCAGTATAACTTGTACCTTCCAACCCAACAATTATTCATCTTAGAAATGGGCTGTGTAAATGCCCAACACACTACACAAGAAATGTCTTCAGTTTGGGTAAAACCAAAATCCAGGACACCTCTTTGAAAGAATAAATCAAGTAAACGAGAGCAAAGACATCACCAACTCTATCCTCTCCAGGAAAGCACAGTAACATCAAATACTTGGGACTTCAGCTCCTCTGGCCCTCTATATTCAAATTGCACATTTGAATATTTATAAAATGTGTATGATCTCCAACAGACAAGGGTCTGGAAGAACAACTAAAGCCTTAAGTAAAGGTCATCTTGTGAAGGTCACTAATTATAAAACAGCACCAAGCTCTGTGGTATCAATTCCAAATTAACACCACTAATTCACACACACGTCATGACCACAAGTGGATGAAATTAACCACGAGGACCTAGAGGGATTAGTCTAGAGTAAGTCAGGCTGCAGCTGGCACACAGCACCTCCAGAGCTGCAGCAGTACAGCTCATTACTACTGTTACTGCATTAGACATGGAAGCTTCAGACACCCCCAGCTGCCACCAAAGGCTAGTGGTGACTGGTCAGGATAGATACACTCTGGCTTTGGCAGGAAGCAAAGCGGCACAAGGAAAGACACAGAGAGCCTTAAACACATTTCTTGACAAAACTTGTAAGTCAATAGACAGCTTTCTAAACTATCCACCCTTCTGGATGCAGTACACTTCTCCAGAGTAAGCAAAGGTAGCCATCAGTGTAACCACTGCTATACAAAACCAAAAAAACCCTAATTACCCATTTATTAATGTCCAGGGAAGAAGAATGGGTAGAAGGGCTGAGCACTTTTGAGCTAGTTGGAAGAGGGACAATTCACCAAGATCTGACAAAACAGATCCCTTGGACATCACCTTGAGGAAAGCTCAGAGCTACCACCCATGACCATGCTGGTTTCGCCTGATGTAACCCAGTTCTATTTGGTTTTGTTCTTACAGAGTCAGACTGATGCACAGCTTGTCAGATTCACAATATACACACAGTGATCTCACCTCAAAGGTCCCAGCTTTCAGAAGATTGACCTGGTCATGCTGGGAGAGATCTCGGAATCCGGGGATGCGCTTGGCAAACTCCACCACTTCCTTCACTGCAGGGGTAAAACTCAGGGAAAACTCTTCCCAGACTTCATGGCCAGATTTGTTTGGGTCCACATGGGGAGTCTTACTCATTGGGCAGACCTGATGTTTACAAAACACACAAAACAACTTTTAAAGATATCACTCCGAATCCTGACAAATACTTGGAAGAAATAGGTTTATTCTTCTACAAAACTTAGCGATAATGACATATAGAGAAAAAAAGATCAGTATTCCTCAGTCATCTCCCAAAGCAACTGGATTTCTCCCCCTTCCTTTAAAACAACCAACCAACCAACAAAAAAAAATCCATGGTTGATTGTCAGCAAGTTGTTTATAAATTTGCTGACTTTGGAAACTACAACAGTGTTTACTGCAAAAGATCTAACTGAACCAATGTTATGCGATTCGTCCCTGATCTCAACTGATGTCTGACAGCTGGGTTTCTCTTATTTGTATTATCCCTGTAATTTCACAGTTAATCATGATTTCAAAATCAATTGAGTGCAATCTCACAGTCATGACTACATTCATTCTCCTATCTGTCTTGTTTTGCAGGCAACTGAAGTGCTTCAGTCAAGGTGACAAAGGTGTCAACACTAGAGCAAGAAAGCCAGCCTTGGTTTCCTGAGTCACAGGTTTACACCCTCATTACAAGGATAATCTTCCTTTACAAGTTTTCTCTCACTTGTATCACTGAAGGAGGATCACCAAGGAACTGGTATTCCAATTTTTCTCAGCCACAGGATGACAAAATGCTCTTTTTTTTACACAAATATACAGCAATTTTTTAGTAGGAAAGTCTGAATCCATTACAATGAGATCAGACATATCAGTCAAGGCTGACTGCCAATAAATTCCCTCTGCAAGACCCAACCAGAAGCTCTGAGATATTTTCAGTTCTGCTTTCTAAAATTTACATCTTTTAATGAAGTTTAAACCTTTTAATATTCATTTCACCTGTCATCATCAAGGATAAGAATTCCTTTTAAGTATTCCTCACAAGTATCCTAAATGATGTATGTAATCCTACATAATGTCAGCAAAACAAAGAAAAAACTGTGAAATAGATTAGCAATTCCTCAGAGCTGTGCTGTTTTCGCAGGGCATCTTGAATATGGTAATTGCCTAGCAATTCTTTGTGTGGAAGGTTCTAAGACTACAAGAATATAATATTTTGGCAAAAGGAAAGGTCTAGGTATACAAACAGAAGGATGGCAGATGCTAATAACTGCTCTGCTCGTGATACTGCAGTGGTTCACATAGATATTGTTAAAAATACAGTAATCTCTGAAAATAAGGAATCTCCTGCTCCTCACCGGACATAAAAATCACCATAACTTCTAATCCTACGATGGTTTAGCTTAACCCACAGGCACTCAGTCCCAAAGGGAAACTACCACTTCTCCACCCTGTGCATTGTGTTTACACTGTCTTGACAGCCCTGTGCCCAAGAGTCATAGAGTATCTCAAGTTAAAAGAGACTCCTAAAGACTGAGTCCAACTCTCTGCTCCTTGCAGAACTACCTAAAACTAAACCATATGACTAAGAGTGTCGCCAGGTGCTCCTTGAACTCTGACAGGCTTCCTATGGAAGCAGTTGTCAGATGTACAGTCACCAGCTCTCTTTAGAAGAACATCTACAGAAACGACCTGTTCTGCTTTTCTGGTTACAGGGGTATTGAGTAAAAAATATCAAACCCCTGAACATCTGTCTCCATACTGGTTCAGAGCCTAATTACATGCCCTTATTGCTACTGACTCATTTTGGTTGGATCCTGATCTCACTGAGTTCTCAGGCAAAACCCTTATGCATGTCAGAGATGTGGGGCAGGGAGGGGGAGCTGCAGTGCTCTGTTGAATTCAGTTTTGTTTCCTCATCGTTGGCTGTGTAAAGCCTCCCTGCAGCTGCCATGCACAGGTCAAACTGACTGGTTGAGCCTCTGCAAGGCAGCACCACTCCCTGCCCGCCCATACTGATGGGTTTAACCTCTGCTTCTCAGGAGTGCCAAGAATGCCATTGTAGTGACACCACATACTTTCCCTGCAAGGAAGAAAGGTTGGCAATTATTATTATTTGCCATGGTGTAGTGCCCAGAGTCTGCAATTAAGGTCAGACCCTCCTAGGGATGGCATAGTCTATATATGCAGTAGCCAAAGAAGGGAAAAAAAAAAGGCACAAAAAAAAACCCAACAGAAAAACTGTCCATGAAAATACAGCAAAATCAACAAATAAACACTTTCACTGTGCAAACTTTCAGGGGTCTTCAAGAACCTGAGAAGGATCTTTATAAACTAGGAGGAAGAAAACCACCAGCAGCTCAAGTACTTCAGAAAGGTCAGGGTCTCGCGCTTCACAACAGGAGTGCAGGATGAGAACGAGGATGTTATGTTCTCTCATCCCAGGCGGTTGCAGTGATAAAGAGAAGGACAATCTATTTTAAGGGGCTTACAGAATTGGTTGCCTGAATAGCAGAGAAACAGCAGGTGCAAGGCAAATGAGAGGGATCTGTTAAGGAAAGACCAAAAAAAAAAAACCCAAACAATCAAAAAAACCCAACAACCATATGCAAAAAACCAGGAAACCTCCTTGTTAAGAATTCAGTGAAAAAATGCTCTAGTAAAGTCATCTAAGGTCCTCAAAATGTGTCCAGAGCCTCACATGTGTAAGTACTACAGAAAAGACCCTGAACGTCTCTCAAGTGGTTTAGCTGTACATCTTCCTCCTGCCTCTGTTCGTATCTGAAGATGTTCTAGGGTGAAAAGGATGCATAGCCTGTGCGCCCCATTAAAACAAAACAAACAAACAAAAAAACCCCAACACCAAAAAAACAGCCTACCCAGCAAGAGAGAGATTTTAGAACACACTAGCTAAGTGTGTACACTGGCTTGAAATCCTCACCCTGGGGTTTCACCCCAGAAATTTGCTCTGAATACACTTAATGAAAATACAGTACATCTGACTGTGTAGATTATTTTAAAGTCTTCAAAAGGATTGAGTGAAAAGGAGAATTTATAAAGCGTTATTTTCTTTTCAAAGTCTATTCACTTAAAAAAACCCCTGAGTTTTCTTCAACCAACACTCTTTGATGTTCACCTACTTTCAGTTAGCTAAAAAATGAGCCAAGAAACCCCATCACTTGTATGATTTCAAATTCTCCACACAACTTGAGCTACTACCTCCTTTGTGACAATGTGCGCCATCAAGTTTATGTCAATATTTTAAGTTTCAGCAGTTTTGCCAACTGTGTGCAGCTCCATTGACCACTAAGACACAGCTGGATCACACCCACCACTAAGCCTTTCACTAAATCAAATCAAGCAATTAATATCAATATACCAGATGCATTCTTCCTCCAGTGCTGCAGGAGTAAGTGGTGTTCTTGTTTGGAGAAAAGCCATCTTCTGGGATCCTATCACACATTCGCTGAGTATAGCCACTGGTGAAGTTCATGCAGTGGCTATTTGTGAAGCACATGGCATGCCCACTTGGATAATGCATTGTGCTTCTCCCTTTGTACTGTCCACCAAGGTGCTGCTCCCTTTCAGGGTACTGAGGGCCACTGAGGCCTCCAACACAGTGCTCACTGCTCAACATGTACTGCTCGGTGTTCTTCGACACTCTCTCCCCACTCTGGGGCTGCATCATCTCTGTGGGGTTTTGGGACTGTTCTTGGTTGTACATGAAAGTGTCTTTGTGGGCTCTAGTGACCATCCCGATCACTTCTTCCTTAGCCATGTCAGCAGTAGGAGGGGGAGAAGGGCTTTTGATGGTATCCCGCTCTTGTTTGGGCTTGGAAGAAAGGTCTTCTTGAGGTGCTTGGTCTTGATGTTCTGTTAATGCTTCGTTGGGTAAGTGGCCACTGAACTGACTGTTCATCATAGTTTTCATGGCACTCTGCATTTCAATCAGCATCCTCTGTTTTTCACGTTTGGGAATACGGCCAAATCGAACAGCTACCATGGTGGAGAAATAGAAAGTGGTGGAACAAAAAAAAAAAAAAGTCAATCCTGAAAGTGTTGGCATGCACACACACAAAACACACACCCCAACCAAAAATCCTGCCTTTTAAGGAAAGGTTTTAACTGCTCTCACCAATACTACAGCAGGGATATTCCAGTGAAATCAAGGAGTTTCCAGTGCACAGGACTGGTGTGAGGTATGAAACGTATGCTGTTGTTTGCATACAAACAGAAGGCAGCTCTAAAGCACAGAGTCTCTAAAGCCTTTTCCCCTTTTACCTCAAACCTGGCTATGGAGTATACATGCAGTTGTGTTAATTGATGAAGTGTTGGGCTTTAAGATTGGGTCTATTAGATCAGCACAACTTTGTGAGCTGACAATTAGGTGAATGTAAACACAGTTCAAATCATATTTGAATAGAAGTCCTACAAGACAGGTCCTCAAGGACTAATTATATAACTTGTCAAAACAATAGAATCAATGCTGAACAAAGCTTACCTTGGCAAATTTCCTTGAAACTTTGCCTTGACAAGGACATTTTCTGCTGGCAAGGGGATGGGCATCATTGTGGCTGCAGCACTTTTGACCCTGTCCTAGGGAATCTACAACTGCCTCTACCACCCTGTCCAACCACAGCTGCACAAGGGCTTATAACCAGTTTCGACTGATGTAATTATGTTCATGCAGTAGTCCATCATTAATGTAACTAAGTCTCTTTCATTAAAGCAGGTGCAACCTTATGCGCAAATAAGTGCCTAGGGGATGAAATAACTCCTATGCACGACAAGAACTCAGAACAATTATTTAAAATAAGTTTTAACACTCCACCCACTAAATTATTAACAGCCCAAGATTCCTAGTTCTTGTGAAATAAACACCCAGAGAAAATTAAAAAGTGAAACAGAAGGAAGAGTTCTGGTTTATGTCAGTAAGTTGTAGCAGACAAATGAACTACACATATTAAAAAGTCACAAGGAGTGGACAGCCAGCAAGGTGGTCAGAGACATAGCTCAACACTACTATTTCCTCCTTGCCTTTCCTCTCCCTCCAAGAAAAGAAAGAAAGAAAAAAAGAAAGAAAAAAAACGGAGCAGATACATGCTCATCCTATGCACCCAAAACTAACTCTTTAGGCTCTGTAGCAATTACTTTAAAGCTATCAGCTTGGGCAGAATTCCCTTTCATTGAAAAAGCAACAGTAACAAAATAAAAGAGGGGAAAAAAAAATAAAAATATGAGTCTTGTTCAGTTTCAGGCAGGATACACAAAATTGAAGCAGTTGTTACAACCATCCCCCTAACAGACCACTGCAGCATATCCCACTGCATCAGCCTCCACCGGCAGGAGAACAGCTCTGCGGCTGTCAGCAGTATTACGTTACCAGTCCAGGAGAGTCATGGAGCAAGAAGGCAAGCTGATCTAAATGTTCTCAGACAGTGAACCTGCTCTTGAGAACAGGGCTAGCTGCATTATCTGCCATTAAGACCCTCAGCGATCAGTTTTGAAGTGAGCAGCAGATTCCCTCTCAGAGGATCCCTGCTCAGTACAGGAACGTACCATCTCTTGACATCCCAACAGACAGACATTTTTTGAAACGACACTGCTGGCATCTGTTCCTATTCATTCTCATTATAGAGCAGTTGTTATTCTTCAAGCACTTCTTATACTGGATGTTTTGCTGAATGCTTCTTCTGAAAAAACCCTGTAAACAAACAAACAAAAAAGCCTCACAACTATCATTACAGCACATATCAAATTCTTCTGCCAAGATTCACTTCTCCGCAAGCACAGAAAACCTCACTGTCTCTCATCAGCTGCTTCAGAGCCATCAGCCCCAAGTGATTTTAAAGAACTTGATACTCCTCAAGACTTACTTCCCCTTTGTGTGTGATCTGTATATAATGCCAACTTGTTATGATTTCTAATTACAGAAAATGCTAAGTTGTTCCCTGCACAGTCAGCACTGAATCTCTCCAGTATTACCTCTAAGACTGTACTAACAGTTTGTAAGATGCTCTCAAACACCTCTGACATCAAGCGCAAATACGGGAGTCAAAAATCAGATCTTTTGACATCAACCTCTGCAGTTTGGCAACAAAACCATCCTGCTGCACCATATGACCTTCAAAGGTGGTTCTTTCACACAACACTTAAGCTGACAAACTCCTTCAAAGAACATAACATTTGCAGTGTTACAGATTCAGAAAATACACATTTAGTGATGCATGAACATGGAAGCACCCAGTTCTGGCTTTCCCTGTGGTAAAGTATTGCTTTTCCAAAGCTATTTTGTTCTGTGCCCCAGCCCAGGTGACAACCCACACCCACTATCTCTTAATGCAATTAACATGCACATGTCTTGCGTGACATGGTCCTTACCACCTCTGCCTCCAGTTCTTGTTCTCTGCCATGCACTCCAGGTCAGGCAGGATTGGACAAGGGGTGAGAACAGAAAGTACTGCAGAGGTTGGAAAATACTGTGTATTGCTAAGTGGTTTGCCTTTTCCCTACAACTTCTGAAATTTCTCATATTTAACAGATAAATACACAGACTTTTTTTGGCAGTATCACCCCTTTTCCCCAATGGGGAGAACTTGAGCATTTCAGCAGCAGAAAGGTGAGCAGAAATATAGCTCACCTTGCAGCCCTCACAGGCATGAACACCATAATGAAATCCTGAAGCGACATCTCCACAGACTTTGCAAAGAAGAACCATGCCATTAAATTCTAGAATCAGAACAAAAAAGTCAAGGATATAGAAAACCAATGACAACTGCAGGAACATGTTTCCACCTTTTAAAACCTGGACTTAAATCAAAATACATCAGGTCAGCTCAACATATGAAAAAGTACAGCAGAAGAACAGACACCAAGAATGTACCAAACTGAACAGTTCAGAAGGTACTAGGGCAAAGGAGGGGGGAAAAGACAAACACGAAGCACTCAACAGAATAGGTAGAAAGCACATATTCAATGGGCTTTCAATCACAGTAGCACTGCACTCAACTGTAGAAAAAGAAAGTCTGCTTACATTTAAGCACTTTTAAAAGGACCATTCAGTTAACTAGGCCACTAAAGTTCAGGCTCAATCTGTTTTTTCCATCAGGACAAGTAAGCCTATAAAAGGCTAGAGTTTCCCCAACAGAGAATAAACATCTTTTCTTAAAAACCAGAAATATTAAAGGACACTTTATTATATATTAAAAACAAGCCATACACTACCTATTTGATAACAATTTAGGACTAGTAACTCAGCCACATCTACGTATGTAAAGACTGCTCATTTGAGTGCATATCCAGAATGGCATGCTTGTACACTTGAACTTGAAAATACCTTCTCAGCCCTGTAAATATGCTCATGGTTTGATTTTTTTACAGTTTTTCCCCACCTTTTTTATTTCAGCTTGTCAATAAAGATTTTTTTGCAAGGTTCAAGTCCTGGTCTAACACTGGTTTCACCAAAGCCAATAGGAATTTTATTAGTGACTTCAGTAACCACAAAGTTACCTTAATACAAGAGAAAACTGGAAATACTCCCACTATTCTACTAGAAAAGTAACTTATTTGACATTTGAGTTTCATTTGTAAAGAAGAACTAAAACATTAAGGTTTTCAAAAAGAACCAAACCACAATTTTTATTTTTTTTTAACACAACTAGTACTGAGCTAGAAGTGTTATCTATCTATCCATCCATTTGAACAGTTTACAAGAGGTTTCATCTCAGGAACTTCTGCCCTTATACCAAGAAAACCAATTACTAGGGAATTTTTAAGAAGTAAAGGTTCTTAATGAACTTAGGGTAGGAACACCTTAAAAAAAACCCCAAACCTTTTAAGGTAGAACTGCTAGATACTTATTCTAGCTTTGTATCAATCCAAAAGAATAAAACAACTCTGTCAATAAAAGAATTGAGCCTCCAAAAGACTAAATTCCAGCCGAGTGTTTGCTGAATCACTCATTCCAGTGCTCAGTTTGATTCCTACCCTTCCAAAATTGTTCAAATATAGTTCTCTACTGTTGATCTTCTCCAATTACTAAAAGAAGTGTGAAGTGAATAGGTGAAGTTAGATTGTTAAATGCATTTTAAAAGGCTATCCTTTAGTTCCAGTTTACAAGTATTTTGTTTTTTACATCCACAAATTAAGACTTGGAATCAAAAAGATAACTGTTCCAACTGCAGCTATGTAAATATTATGTTTGGGTAATTTATTTATTTTGTTCCTCAAAACTGGGGGGGGAAGGAAAGGTGAAGGGGCAAGGGAAAGCGTATGAAAAAACAGAGAAACCAGATTTCCAAGACAGCTCCATAAATACTCTTGAAGGCAATTTCTGATTACTATTACCTTTATTTCATTACTTCCTTTTAATTGCTTGATTTTACTAAGATCAGTCCTCACGAAAATTTGAAGTAAAGCCGGACTGTATTTATGGACTGTTTGAAGTCGGCAGCAATGGGACTTCCATCTTATTAGCATTTGTACGGCAACACCAGCTGTATTACCACACACATAATGCCAAAAGATAAAAATGGAGGCTTTGCTATGTGCCTTCACCACAAGTCACGCAGAAGACCTGGTTGTAACATATGAGGTTGTAATATATAAGGGGGAAATGGTGTTTTAAGGAACCAGCACCAAACGTACTTGTGACTCCATTATGGCCTTTTGTCAAACCAGCAACACTGGACTGGTTTGTTTTAACAGTCTCCTCCAGCCGATCGTTCTTCGGTGCCCCATCAGAGCCTTCGCTGCTCCGGCCATTGCATCCGCTTTCCGAGGAGGAGCTGTTCGGAGAAGATGGTACAGGCGAAGAGGATGACTGGAAACCGCTGTCTGAGCTCTCACTGTGACATGAGGCTGGGCTAGATGCCGAGCTCGAAGAGCTGATGTAAGCTATCACACCCCCTAAGGCAAGAAAAAAAAGGCGGCACGTAGTGACATAACCAGCAGACATGCACCGCTGCCATGTGAGCCACGCCGTGACCCAGCACCACCAGATCAGCCATTACGTGCTCCTGGGAGCACTCCTCTCCCTCCCTCCCTCCCTCCCTCAAGTCTGTTTGTCTCCATTCGTTTTCAATGGCTGACCTCCCAGTCTGCCCCATTCCCTTCTCCCATCTTATCAACCTCCTCTGATCCAAGCCAAGATGAAACGGCAGAACCAACAGATGGAGCAACAAGCCATGGTGCTGTAAGGATGGGGCAGCAGGGACAGAGCACGGGATGGCCCAGAGAGGGTTTCCCTGGGCACCCTCTGAGCAGAGCTCATCTGGAGCCACAGCAAAGACAGGATCTTAGAGCGCTGTGGAGCCAGAATGCAAACAAGCTAGGTTAGCAACAGAAATAGGGCAGAGAGAAAGCCTTCATGCAGGCTCTGCGCCAGAGGCACAGAGGCTGGGAGGCGCTCATGATGCAGAAGGGAAGGGGGCAAGGGAAAGAAATAGCACTGCAGCCTGGTTAGCCTACTGAACGCCATTTGTCCGACTGCAAGCCTTTGTAGTGTTTCTAACAGCAGCTGAACTCCAACTGCCAGGCTGCTATTGCAAACAGTCTCTGTCCTGCCGTGTCTTGCAATCTGACACACTTGAGAATCCCTCAGATGAACCAGCTTTTTGTCCTCAGGCAGACCTCGGAGCAGTTCTGGCTTTTCACAGGCTCCTTCTTGCTCGTAAGCAAGACACATTGTTTGCACTTCATTTGAGTTTGTCTCCAAGACTCAGCATTTCAAAAGTCAATATAAAATCATTTGATATTTCACACAAAAATTTCAACAACCATGCAACTGTTTAAATAAATTAGACTCAGTATCTTCTATGTTTTATGCCTCTATTGCTCTGTAGAGTCTCTTCACAGACAACTCATGGTATTGCAGCAAGGAACTCCACATGCCAGTAAGAACTAAAAACTTAAAAAGGGCCAGGCGCTGCTTTCTTTTAGAGATAAAAAGCATTGGTGTCTGTAGAGTCCTCAATCAACTGAATCGGCATTACAGGTTGGGGCTGTAGCCCCTTACATCAGCCATCACCTCCACACAGATAAAGGCAGTGGTGTTATACAACCCTGGACACATCATTGCTTTCAGGGAGCAATTCTGACTTACAAATTTTCAATACTTCTATCAGCTGTAATGATCCTCTTAGCATCTCTGCAGCACCCTTTCCTCTTTAACATTTAACTTTTTTTCTACCAAGGAAACCCTTGGTAAAAAGGTTCCCTAAAGAGCATGCAGCCAAGGAGCTCCTGGCAGAGCTGCCTCACAGCACAAGTCAGACTAAGGGGCCGTGTGACACGTGCACTACACAGACTGCTGCTCACGTTTCCAGACACTGGTGCCCCTACACCCTGTCACAGCCGTTGTTCTCACACAGATTTTTCAAGAAATCCTCCACACAGCATAGCACGCATGCCGGATCAGGTTTTCGGAGAAAGGAGGATTGGCAATGGAGTCACGGGTTCAGCAACAGCATGAGAAATGAGACATCCTCAGACACCCGTGCTAGGCTAAGACACCACCTGTTTGACAAAGGTCTGTGCCATCCCCCGGTGCTGCACGCGCCTCTGCCAGGTGCCAGGTCAAAGCTCACAGTCCACCTGGTCCATGGGAGGCACCCGGTTTCTCAGCAGGCGCCATCCTTATCTGCAAGGGGCAGACCAGGACACGCAAGCACAGCACAGCTCCTGCAGGGAACTCCATATTTCTCCACACTGCTACCGCGCCCCATTATCTTTAAACCCTGCTCATAAAAGAGATTTTCTTTTTCCTCAGGGGTAACACCAATGTCATACGGCAGCACAGAATGAGTGTGTCTATGGTTTCACCCCTCTTCTTCTGAAAGCCGGAGGAGCCCCAGATAGCTGGGCTGCTCCTGCACCCCAGAGAGCCGGGCAGTCTTGCCTGCGTCACAGACTAGGTTCCGCGTATTTTTATTTCAGAAGCTGCACTTCCCTATGAACTCTGGTTTTGTTTGGTCAGCAGTCAAAAGTTGAATCTCTCACACAGCGCAGGGTGACATCTCAGAACAAAGAGCACAGACACAGTGACCTCTGTGCGTGCCCGTACACGTGCACACGCACGCCGCTGCTCTGCAGAACGGGGGTACCGGGGTGTTCGGCGGGGAGGGCAGCGTGGGGACTGGGAACTGCCCGGGCTTTGCCTCGGGAACCCGATGGAGGGCGGTGAAAGAAGTCCTTGGGGCTACGAAGGGCCGCGCTGCTAACGCTGCTGCGGAGGCACCTTCGGCTGAGTGGCGAGGACCCTTCGGGCTCTACCTGGTGGGATTTACTTGGGAAAGGGGGGAAGGGGGGCGGGGGCACCGCGCCGTGCCGGCATTTCATTTGCACAGCCATCCGGGAAGCTGTACCGCCGCAGGGACGCGCTGGCTGGGCGATGAACCCGGCCCCGGGACGCTGCGGCAGCGGGGACTCCCCGGCAGGCACCCTCAACACTGCCGATCTCCCTCGTTAACCACGCGCGAAGGGAGCGGGGACTGCGGTCCCTGTGCCCGCAGCTGCCCTCCCGCCCCATTCCATCCCACCGCACCGGGGCTGCGGCTTTTCCCTGCCGCGGTCACGCGGCGCCGGGGCTGGAAGCGCCGGGCCCGCCCCGCGCTGCCCCCGGGCCGCCCCCTCCCCGTTACACAAC